CTGCGGGACCAACCCGGCAGCACTCCAGCTGCTCTGCTCTTGGCGTCTCCAATTCAGCTGCTGGTCAGTTTCAGCAGCAGCTGAATGGGGGAAGCCTGTTTGGCTGCCCCAGCACTTCCGGGTTCCTGATGGTGCTGGACCATCAGGAGTCCCGGAGCATTGGATGCCGGACTAATGGAGTTTTACTGTATTATTCCTGTGCTGTCCCTGTTCTATGGACAATGAGCTTAATGAAAGCAAAAAATTTAAAATGACAAGATACTAACTGGTCATTTTCCCTACCTTTTATATAATGAATGTATAGCTAATAAAATGGTTTAGAGTGACAATTCTGGGCACTGATTTTCTCCATTTGTCCACAAATTTAGGGACTAATGGAGTTTTACTGTATTATTCCTGTGCTGTCCCTGTTCTATGGACAATGAGCTTAATGAAAGCAAAAAATTTAAAATGACAAGATACTAACTGGTCATTTTCCCTACCTTTTATATAATGAATGTATAGCTAATAAAATGGTTTAGAGTGACAATTCTGGGCACTGATTTTCTCCATTTGTCCACAAATTTAGTACAATAGCAGTCAAAGCTTCCAAGTGCTGCCTTTCCTCTGTGCCTCAACTCTGCTTTGGGCAGATTACCTTCAGAGCTGAAGTGCTAGTCACTGTTCCCATTCACTTTTTGTCCTCTCTGCTGAAGCACAATTTGTGATAGAAACATCTATCTATTACAAACTGGATTGATATCACCAACTCATTTCACATGAGTCAATGTGAGCCGTCAGGTGGTAACAATTTTTGGTCAGAACTAACTTCAAACTAGTAGCCCAGAAGTGGAAGGCCATAGGCCTCATTTCTAATTCCCAGGATCCGTCTAATTCCTCTATTTTCATTTTAAAATTACTTTTCTTTCTTCATTTATAGGCTTTATTTCGCAATCCAAGCCCGGGGAGAGACAGACAGGGAAAAGCTGTTGTTAATGTATCAGACAAATGACCAAATAGTAAATGGACTTTTTCCTGTAAACAAAGAACTGGCACTGGAAATGGCAGCTCTTTTAGCTCAGGTAATTTATGAGTATATGGTAACTGTCAACTTGTACATTAAGAGCCCATGCTGAGTACTTTCCACTTCTGTTCACATCAGTGTGAGAGGTTGTCAGAATCTTGCAGAATCAGGCCCTAGTTAACTCAGGCCTGCATAGCCTAAGTTGCATAGCCAATTGCATAGCTATTTGCTTTTATTACAGGGGGTCTTTAACAGGTCTCCCATTCACTGTGCCATGAATTACTTCTGAAAATTATATAAATTTCAGTATCAATAGATCAAGTTCTGAATAAGATTTTTTTTTATAAACAAAAACACAGAGACCATCACATAAAAACGTTTGAGAGTTACTTTGTGGATTGGCTTCATTGGAACTTGTCAGTTTAAACTGGCTGAGGATTTGTCCCTCTGAATGAAATACTGTTAAATGCAAGAAAACTCTATACAATATGTTTTGTATTTTTGCCATTTAAATTTGATTTGTGCTAACTAATTTTTGTCTGGTGAATTAAGTATAATTGGAAGTCTTATATAATTTACTCTATATTTACATCAGTAAAAATATAATTTAATGGACAAAACGTTTTAAGTTTTACAGTATGCTCATCAACAAGACATTGTATAAAAGGAATTTAAGTTCTAAAATGACTGCATGAACAAAGATCTTATCTTTCCTGGCCTTTCCACTAGGTTGAAATTGGGGACTTTGAAAGACCTTTCTCAACTCCAGCAGGGCAAGTTACTTCTCCCTCCAAGTCCAATCAAACATTGAAACAAGTTGTGGAGAAATTCTACCCAAAGAGATATAGGCATGGCTGTTCAGAAGAACAATTAAGGTGAGAGGGGAAAATTATTATGATAGTCAAGATGTAAGGTTTTTTTTAACTTTTAGGGTTCTGTTAGTTTAGAGACAAAATAAGGCTTTTTCAGTTGCATTGGAAGATTTAGACATACATACAATTATGAGAAATTTTTGTCTAGAGATATATATCAAACTGAAATTATTTTTACCGAATGGATTAAGAACCACCGATTTCCTCTGCATCTTTGTTACCCAGATATACTGGGTTTATTAAGTTTAGCAAAATGCTAAAGAATAAATGCTCTCAGAATACACAGATTACTTAAGATCTTAGAACCTTACTCATAAAGGTCCGGATTCTGACACTCGTATTCACCTGGAATGCTCCATTAAAATTAACAAGATTATTAAGTCTTACAGGGGTAGCTATGCTGGTATGTATCTGCAAAAGCAATGAGGAGTCCTGTGTCACCTTGGAGAATAACAGATTTATTGGGGTATAAGCTTTCATGAGTAAAACCCACATCATCAGATGAATCTACTCATGAAAGCTTATGCCTTAATAAACCTGTTATTCTAAAGTTGAGTAAGGGTGCCACAGTCTGGTCTAAGAATAGATCCGCTGAAATCAACCAAACTGTTTGAATGAGTGAGAACTACTTATATGAGTAAATGTTGCAGAATATGAATCTGTTTTAGTCAAACATTGGGTATTTCATATATTTTGAACAAAAATAATGTATTCTAATTTCTGCTAATATTATACCATCTATTTTCCCATGGCTCATGGCAAACAGAAGGTACAGGAAAAGAAAAAGATTTGAAAAACAGGAAAATGTTACTGTAAAACCAACATATAGCTGCAATGCTGAAAAGAGCAGGAAATATCTGAAAATGCTTTAATTTTTTGGCAAAAAAAATCTATATTTCATGTTGCTGATTGTCAGGCATTTCAGCATAGCCCAGCAGCAAAAATCTGCAGCTGTGTCTTCCAGCAATAAGAGTCTGCAGGGTTCAGCTGTAGAGAAACTTCAGCCCTCCCTGCAGGGTTCACTTGTAGAGGAACTTCAGTCCTCCATCAGTTTCCAGTCCAGACCCTGTGACCAGCAGCTTGGGTATACAGACTGGATACCACCAACCTACTCTCTGTGGGCTCATCTAGACTACGCTAAAGTGTCAAAAGAGGATATGCAAATTCCATGGGAATTTGCATATCTTTTTCCGATCTCACTTTTGAAAGCAGAGCTTTCGAAAGTGAAAGTAGTCTGGACGTGGTTTTTTCGGCATCCCCCCTTTTTCGAAAAGTCGCTGTTCCTCAAAATATGAGGTTTACGCAGCTTTTCGAAAAAGGGGGAGGTGCTGAAAAAAATGTGTTCAGACTACTTTCACTTTCGAAAACTCTTTTTGCAAAATCAAACCATTCCCAGGAGTTTTCACCAGTAACCTTTTTAAACAATAAAATCAAAAATATGTTCTAACCATGTGTTTCATTTCAATAGACAGCTTCGTCAGCGATTATCAACTAGATGGATGGCTCTTCGGGGGCAAAGTGCTGCTGATTGTGTGCGCATTTATCTCACGGTAGCCAGAAAATGGTCATTCTTTGGTGCTAAAATGTTTGCGGCAAAAGTAAGAAAATATACCAGTTTTGGGTTTGAAGGGGGTGATTTAAGTTTGAATATAGTACATGAGAGGAAAACAAATTAAGTGGAAAGTGGGTTTGAAGTGTTTCTGTTGACTGAATCATCATTAACGTGTCACTGCTTGGATTAAGTAACACACCGATTAATTTTAGTAATCTTAATAATAAGTAAATCCTAATAATTTCTAGCCCATGTCTCTCCTGCATTCTTATATCACTCCATACAGCATCCTCTCACTGTCTTTCACTTTGTTTTGAAGCAGGCTTTTTAAATTAATACTTTTTTGGGGTCTGATTCAATTCCTAATAAAGACTTTTAATGAGAGTTGGGTTTTTTCCTTAGAAGCATTAATAAAGATTAAATATACAGGATATATTACAAGCAGATTCTCCCTTACTGGCTTCTAAATCACTGTTAAACATTCCAGAACTTCATTACTACAGAAAACAGTAAGTATTGACTGGAACATTAATAATAAAGAAATTGAGCCTGAAGTTTTGCAGCAATAAAAACCCTAAAAATCAATAAGCTTTATGCTTAACCCTTGGACACACACACCACAATGCAGGTCTGGTAAATAGAGCTGTAGTGTCATTTTTCTTCTTTATTTCCTTTCAGACAATCCTAAGATACATACCCTAACTCCTTTGCAGCACTTCTGTTCCCTTATATTTTGGTGTAGTGTTTAACAAACTTTAAAATGTCTGCATTTTTTAACTAAGTTACTGTTTAAAACTAACCCCATTTATAACATGTAATGGAATTCTGTTTCTCTCTTTGAAGCCTCTAACAACATCCACATTTGAGAATTCCTTCATATGGCTTGTTGTCCATGAAGATGGAGTAAGCATTCTAGAATACAGCTTTCTGGTAAAAGAAAAAGAGTTTTAGTTTAGATTTAAATATATTTTAATAACAAATATGTGGGCCAAATACATTATTGATGTATTGCCACTAATTAAAATGAAATTACTCCAGGGTCAAAATTCATCCCGCATATGTAGATGTTTAGTCTGTCTCTTAAAATGTAAATATGTTACTATAAAATGCTTTAAAGTTACTGTCCTTGTTATATTAGTGCTGATAGTGGAAGTATCTCTTCATTATTTTGCTCAGTATTTATCATCTTTCTAAGGGAGACATTTTATATTTTATCAAACTAGTAAATGAAATGATAAAGAAATTCATAAATTAAGATTCTGACAACAAACTGAACTCTTCCCACTTGAGGCTTTCATTTAAATGTTCAGTCATAAGACAATAAATACTAATGTGAAGTGTACATAAATGCACAGTTACATAATATGATTACATTACAATAATCTGATTACAGTATTATTCCCATTGTATTTGTTGAATCGAATGTCATATTGCTTGGTGGTATTGAATCATATAACTAAAATCTTGGTTCTCCTCTTACTACTGTTTTACACCACTGTAAGTATCTCAATTGAAATCAATGGAGTGGCACTGGTGTAAATCTCTTGTACCTAAGATGCGCTATGTTTTCTTTCAAATTTCCAAAGGGGTAGAATTATATTTTGCTATCAGAATGTTAACACAGATATTTAAATTATTCACATGAGGAAATTCAAACGTACCTTTGCATTAATGTAGACTTTTTCACTTAACTTGCCTTTGTATTTAAAGATAGGTATGGAGAAGTTAGACAAACGTAATAGGTAGAAAAATATGGAAAGAGGAGGGAGAAACGTGATCAGGCAGATTGAGATGAAATAGAGGCTGCAGCATTCTGTTCCACCAACACACTTCTCACTCCTTGAAGGTCACCAATCTAAGTTGGATCAGAACTCCCTTGCTGCAGTTTAAGCCCGTTGCTTCTTGTCCTATCATCAGAGATGAAGGAGAACAATTTTTCTCCCTTCTCTTTGTAAAACCCTTTTAGGTTCTTGAACACTGCTATCATGTCCCCTCTCGGTCTTCTCTTATCTAAACTAAAAAATCCCAATTCTTTCAGCCTTGCCTCATAGCTCATGTTTTCTAGACCTTTAATCATTTTTGTTGTTCTTCTCTGGACCTTCTTCAGTTTTTCCACATCTTTCTTGAAATATGGTGCCCAGAACTTGACACAACTTCAGTTGAGGCCTAATCAGTGCAGAGTAGAGTGGAAGAATGACTTCTGTGTCTTGCTCACAACACTCCTGTTAGTGCATCCCAGAATGTTTTCTTTTTTTTTTTTTCAAGCGTCACACTTTTGACTCATGTTTAGCTTCTGCTCTATCATGACCCATAGGATCATTTTCCACAGTACATCTTCTTAGACAGCTTCAGGGGATAGCTAAGTTAGTCTATAACAGGAAAAACTTTTTTAAAAAATTATGAATAGTCTAGTAGCACCTTAAACACTAACAAAACATGTAGATGGTATGTTTGCTATGGTATGATGCTATGTTTGCTTTCATAGGCAAAACCCACTTCTTCAGATGACTGGAGTATTAGAAGTCCAGATCCAAGAATAAATAAGGGAAGGGGGGAGGGGAAAAAAAGAGAGTCAGGGAGCAGATGATTCAAGTAGTTACAAGAGGCTGATAAGAACAATTAGCACCTCTATTGTTTGGTTTGTTAAGTCATTAGGATGTGGACGGTAGTGTGCAAGCCAGCCGAGGTCCCATCTAGTTACTCGCTGTTTCTCTTGTTTTTCCCCTCCTCCCCCCTTTCCCTTATTTATTCTTGGATCTGGACTTCTAATACTCCAGTCATCTGAAGAAGTGGGCTTTGCCCACAAAAGCTCATGATAACATCTACATGTTTTGTTAGTCTTTAAGGTGCTACTAGACTATTTGTTGGGTTTTTTTTTTTACATTTTACCTTCTTAGACAATCATTTTTCATTCTGTAAGTGTAAAACTGATTATTCCTTCCTAAGTGGATTACTTTACATTTGTCCTTATTAAACTTCATCCTGTTTACCTCAGACCATTTCTCTAGTTGGTCTGGATCATTTTGAATTATGACCCTATCATCCAAAGCACTTGTAACCCCTCCAAGCTTGGTATTATCTGCAAACTTAATACGTGTACTCTGTATGCCAATATCTAGATATTTGATAAAGATATTGAACAGAACCAGTCCCAAAACTGACCTCTGTGGATCCCCACTTGTTATGCCTTTGCAGCATGACTGTGAACCATTAATTACTACTCTCTGAGAACAATTATCCAGCCATTTATGCACCTACCTTATAGTAGCCCCATCTAGGGCACAGTATTCAAACTATTGGGGTACTTACCATACATCTCTTCACAACAGCATAGAACAAGTGCCCACAACTTTGTTACAGAGCACTAGGACTCCACCTTCTATGGGACACTCTCCTCATCAAATGAGATGTACTGTTAATGTTTGCCTTTCCTCTTCAGCTGGCTCATATATAAGATCAGGAGGAACAAATCAGAAGTCATGCTAATAACACCTAGATAGCCCAGACAAACATGGGTCCTGAATCTATTAAAAATGGTGGCATGCCCACCTTAAAATCTTTCTCTAATACTTCATCTCTTCTCCCGAGATGTGGGACACATCCACCAGCCCTACCTGAGAGTACTTCACATCAAGGTGTAACTACTCTATGGCTGAAAGAAAATGAAGCAGTCTGCTCAGAAGAAGTAAAAGACATTTTATTGAACAGTCAGGCTACATCCACACTGCAGAGTTAGCTGTTCCACTTCTTTTGAGCACGCCTGTTATTTCAAAATATAACAGGCTCACTATTCTGTTGTCCCTGTAACCCTCATTCCACAAGGAGTAAGAAATGTTTCAGAATAGTGGGTTATTTCAAAATAAGTGCTGTGTAGACAGTGCCAAATTTCAAAATAATTTCAGAATATGGGTGCAGTGCAGACACACCCTTATAGATTCAATACAAGAAAGACATATACTTATAAATGAAAATGTTTCAGCATATGGTGCCAAAGTAAACAAATCATAACAACATCCTCTCCTTTACTAAGAGTATTGGATTACATTTTGGAACTAAAAAACTGGGACTCCATAAATTGAGTCCTGTGTGGATACAAAACTGGTATCTGAATCTGCATCTAAAAAAATGATCTGTGGATATTTTCATCCACAGACAGGAATACACACAGATATTAAGCGGATATCCAAAAAATTGCATAATTCTAGATCCAAAATTTGTATCTTGCATCTATATCTGCAAAAATGAGCCACAGATATCTGCATCCACATTTGTGGATGTGAATACCTGTGGATATAAAGCAGAGATCTGCAGAATTACAGGGCTTTGTCCATAAGCTCCATATAGGTAAATCTTGTGGCTATAATGGCTTCCTTCAGTACAGAGAATGGGATCACTCAATTCACCCCCCCAACAGCCAAATGCTTACTCTAAGGCAGTGTTTCCCAATTGGTGCTCTGCGAAACTCTGCACCTTTTTGAAAAAAAATTTTGCTTGACAAATTTTATCCTGGGAACCCTAGAGGTTCCTTGAAATTCTTTTAAGCTGAAAAGTGTTCCATGGCCAAATAAAATTGGGAAACACTGCTCTAAGGCATTAAGGTCACTTACCCTGAAATAAGGGCGCAAGCTCCAATGTGGGATTTCAACCTTCTCTTGCACAGACTTATAGAAATCACATTTGTACCACTAGCCACATGTTCATTACTCCATCTATCTATGAAGGTGGCTTTCATCATTGCCATAATGTCTGCTAGACATAGGGGAGAACTAGATGACCTAATGGCACACCTTCCATATACAATTTTCTTTAAAAATAAAAATTACCCTGAGACCACACCCCAAATTCCTATCCAGACTTGTCACTCCTTTTCATTTAAACCAAACTATTTACTTATCTGCATTTTTTTCAGAACTGCATATGCAGACAAAAGAGAGGCATCACTCCACACTCTGAATGTCCAAAGAGCATTAGCCTTCTGTACTGAAAGAACAAAAACCTTTAGTAAATCACCAGAATTACTAGTCTATAACAGAAGGATCAAAAAGGGAAACCATCTCAAAGCAGAAACTATACAAATGGGTATCAGGATGCATCCACTTCCATAAAAAACATCAGTTACAGGCCCCACCAGGAGTCGTCATGTACTCTACCAGAGCACTTCTAACATCCTTTAGGGTATGTCTACACTACTGTGCTATTTCGAATTAACTTAATTCAAAATAGTTAATTCGAATTAAGGTAATTCGAAATAACGCATCTATACACAAAAACAATTTTAAAATAGTGTTTTGCTATTTCAAAATAGCATGTCCACACTGAGTGGACCCTGAACCGAAGTTAAGGCTGGCTGGAACCAGTGCCAGCAGGGCGTCAGGTTAGGACTTAGTGTGTGGGGCTGCTTGCCTGAGGCTAACTGAGCTCCGTGCTTAAATGGACCCTACCCCCACCCCGGACAGACAGTTCTCAGGGTTCCCCGCTTGCTTGTCTACCTTGATGAGGGACAGTAAAGCAGTCCTGTCTTGGAGTGCCTTGAGTGCCCGCACTCAGGACACCACAGCACTCGGCCATATGGCGCCAGAGCTGCCCTTGGGCACGCCGGTGCATCTCGTGGGGTCATTGCCATCAGCCTGAATGCACTTACTGCAGGCTGCCATCTCAGGGGTCCATCGGGGGGCTGTCAGGATCCAGGAGGCCCTGAGGGAGAGCATCCACCCAGAGGAGTCCTCACAGCCTCCCTGCTCCTCCCCACTGGGGGCTCATGCCCCATTCCTCCCTCATGTCCTTCTACTTACCCCTCGCTAGCTCCCCTTCCTGATGTCAAATAAAAGACACGTATGTTCAAAAATAGAAACTGGGTTTATTGAACAAAACTGGGATGGGGGATGAACCTCTGGGGAGATTGGGAAAAGGAGGTGGGAGAGGGGAGGGGAAACCTGGGAGGAGGGAGCTGGAAGGGGGAAGCAAGGGGAAGAAGGGGGAGGGGAAGCTCAGGGTTGGGGGTCTCGCTGGACCAACTTGACTTTCATGCTAACCTGCTCCTAGGTTTGCATGTGGCCTTTGGTGGCCAGGCTGGCAGCTATCCTACCATAGATTGCTGCGTTCTTCCATCTAGTGCGGAGATCATGGACGTTGGGAGCACCCCCCTCCAAACCAGAATAAGGTCCATGATCTCCATCCTGGACCAGCAATGCGCCCACCTTCTCCAGTCCCTGTCTCCTGGGAGCTGGCAGATGGCTCCTGGGGAGCAGTAGAGGGCTGGCTGCGAGTGGCTTGCTGGCTCATGTTTTGGGGCCACTGCTGGCTCTGGGCTGGCAGGCTTGGAGCTGGCACAGGCACTGTGGCCAGGGTCCACTCCTTAAATGGCTCTGGGGCTGGGGAAAGGAGAGTAAGTTTTCCTGGTTGTGCCCAGATTGGCCATCAGAGCTCCCTGGGAAGGGTTGAAGGCCTCCTATTTTGAATTAAGTGTCTACACACCACTTAATTTGAAATAGCTATTTTGAATTTGGTATTACGCCTCATAGAATGAGGTTTACCAAATTCGAATTAAGGGCTTCACTATTTCGAATTAAATTCGAAATAGCAGTTTACATGTATAGTCGCTTTTAAAGTTAATTCGAAATAATGACTGTTATTTTGAATTAACTTTGCAGTGTAGACATACCCTTATGGACATTTGCAAAGCAACAATTTGGGTGTCTGACCAAACAATTACAAACCACTATTGCTATAGAAATAACAATCATTATCAGAGGCTCTGTTTGGACTCGCTGTTTATGAATCATCACAAATGCAACTCCGAAGCCCTTCCCTTCCACAGAGGGGCACTGCTTGTCAGTTATCAAAAGTAAAGCACCCACAGAAGAAGAGAAGATTATTTAACTCTGTGCAGTAACTGAGGTTTTTGAGGAGGTTGTCTCAATAAGCCAGGGGTGAGCAACCTTCAGCACGTGGCCTATCAGGTTAATCCCCTGGCAGGCAGCAAAACATTTTATTTACATTATCCATCTGCAGGCACGGTCCCCTGTAGTTCCGAGTAGCCATGGTTTGCTGTTCCCATTGCTTCTGGCTGCTTGCATTGGCCGGGAATAGTGAACCACAGCCAGTGGGAGCTGCAGAGAGCCATACCTGCAGACAGTCAAGATAAACGAAATGTCTCGAAGCCCAGTAGCAAATTACTCTGTTGGGCCTTGTCCTGAAGGCCCACTGCAATAGGTGCTCTGCCACCCTCCCTTCTCCTCTCTACTTCAGAGTTTCATGCTAGATCTCTGTAGTTGAGAAGGAACTGAGGGATGGTTGGTCATGCAGTGCTATGTAAACACCTAAGGGAGCATGTGACAGTACATGCATGACCTAACCACTAATACAAGCTACTACAAACCTCCAATTACAAGTGCAGAGCAGAGACACACCTAAAGTGGGGCACCCACAGGAACAGCCCATCTCAAAGAGCTATAATTACAGCACATGGTGACTAGCTTTCTCTTCTAAGTCAGGAGTGAGGCCAGACAGGATGGGAACAAGGCTGGGGTGCAACACAGGTACTAGGCTGGAGTTGAGGAGGAGCAGAACAGGAGCGGGTCTTGGAGAGATGAGCACAGGGAGACAGAGTCTGTGGATGTGGATGTTGACCAGCCAGTGAGCTGCTGCTGCTGCTGCTGCTATTAGATTTCAGAACTGGCCTGAAAGCTTTCTCAGCCAGATAGGCAGGATGGTCCATCAAGGATGTCAGGAGTACTTAGCAGGTGCAGTTAAGGGAAGCCTCTTTGTGGAGTTTCTTACCGCTTCCTGGAAAACGCAGGCAAACCTAACATAAAAAGTATTGAGGAGAAAGATAGGGTAATTCTGTTTTTTACAGTTTGGATGATGTCCTTTTGCTAATTGAAAAACAAGGGCAAGAAGGAGTTTAGTACCCAAGAGATTAAAATAATTACTTTACAGAGATTTTTTTCATGATAATTTAAAATGTGCATATCTGTCTATATTGATTTATATAATATTAAATATGAATTAGCACAACAAATGGCAGTGACTCATAAGCTACATGTCCAGTGCTGTGTGTTGAATAATAGAGGCCAAAAATTTGAAGCAGAAGTTTTTGTTCTCTGTTAGTACTGTCAGCCAGCACTGATTTTATCCCCCATTAGAGAGCACAAATGAATTTTGTCAATTTAAATTAGATCACTTGTACACACAAAGGTTGAAATCCTTTTTTAAGTATGGGCCCTGATACTTAACTTCTTTAGAGCCTGATCCAACTCCTAATGGGACTCTTAGCACCAACTTCAACAGGAGTCAGACTAGGTCTTTCATTTGTAATGTAAGTTATGTGCCTGAGTCCAAACTCAAAAACATAGCCATTAAACTAAATAAATATATATTACTTTAATAAGAAACTGAGACACTCATGGAAAAAGAGATGTCATACTGCAATGGGAATTCATCACAATGAACTCTTGAAGGAATCAGGCACTTAATTTGAATTAGATTCAAAATTCTACAGAATTTAGAAATTAAACATGTTTAGAAATTAAAGCAGGAATTAAGTTCAAAGTCTTTTTTCCCTGTATATTTCTGAATTAATGTAACAGGTTTTTTTCCTTTCTTTCTTTAAAGCGATTAATAGTTACATATGTACACAAAAGTTTGATGACATTTGGAGGCTACCAAGATGACTTTATGCTGATAGTTAACAATGCTCAGTCAAAAGACAAGTCAAATGAAAAACTCCTTTTTGCCATGGCAAAACCAAAGGTTGGTACATTAGCTGAAATAATTTCCAGTGTCTGTTGCCTATTTCTACTTTAGTGTCCGTGTGTATATGCACAAAATGCAGCACCTGTTGTTCAGATATCCTCTAGTCATTAGCTTTTACATAATGAATTTAAAGGGGGAAAGCAATTCAAAACATAAAACAGTTCATACAGTTTTCTTGCTTTTTTTTGTTTAATGACCCTTCCCCCAGAGTTTCAGACTTTGTGGACAAGGACATTTAGGGAGATAAAAGACAGGAAGCATATGCGGTGCCTAAAAATTAGTATAGCCACAATTTAAAAAACAGTTTGGATCCCAGTAAAGCAGTGTCTATATTGTCTGATAACTTTCTGAAAGGTTACATACTTCTCCAAAATTCTAGGTCTAAGAAAACCTAGATATTAGTCTAGACTCTTTCTCACTGGTAATACTGGTTACCAGTATGTAACTTCAGTTCAAAATTGTGTCTCTTCATAGAAATATGCACGTATGTATGTAAGTGTAAGAAACACAACAATTTTCTGTCAAATCACTCCCTTTAAAGAGGAGTTTTTTTGGCGGTTCCATAGAGAAGGCATGGTACACAACCAAGATAAACCCACAGCTACTTGAGTGGCAGCCCATCTGGACTGTTCTTTAATGCTTATGCCGGAGACATACAACACTGCATAGGAAAAACTAAGCTGCATGTAGTAAAATTATTCCATAAGAGAGACATCTATTGGTCTGTAAAATTCTCTCCTAAAGAAGTGGTGGAAACTTAACTGTTTGACTAATTTAAAAATGTGCAGGATAAAATACTCCTTGTACTTACTCTAGGGAATAATCCTGCATTATCCAGAGAGATAAGCAAGATAACTAACTCTAATAGTTATTTTCCCCATTTATAATTTTTTAATGAAATACTAGGGGGCTGCATTCCCTGCTCGCTGAGCTCACCAACCCCTCTCTCTCTCTCTCTCTCTCTCTCTCTCTCTCTCTCTCTCTCTCTCTGGCTCTCTCTCTCTCTCTCTCTCTCTCTCTCTCTCTCTCTCTCTCTCTCTCTCTCTCTCTCTCTCTCCCACCCAGGGCTCCCCCTTGCCTTCACCGCTCCCCTCCTTCCCCTGGACGGAGGCCTGACCAGCCCTGGCTCTCTCCTCCTGACCATGGGGGAGGGGATGGGGGTGGCCAAGGCTGTACCAGCCCCGTTCTCTTCCCCTGGCTACCAGGACAGGGGCTGGGCAAGGCCAGGCCAGCCCCAGCTTTTTTCCCCCCAGCTGCCGCCCTCTCCCAGGACAGGACTACTAGGGCAGGGGCCGGGTGGGGGCCAGGCCATCCCCGGGCTCTCTCCCCTTGAGCACCAGGGATGGGGGAAGCAGAGTGGAGGCAGGCGGGATGCAAAGTGATGTAATATCACTCTGTTGTCTCACAGGGAAAAAAAATGATATATAAAGAGAGATAAGAACTTGTATAATACAATGTCTGTTTCTCACTAAAAACGTAGCTATTTCTTCATAGTCAAAATACAAGTTATATTTTCCAGATACAGATTATAGTGTTTCTTGTTACAGATTCTTGAGATCACTCTACTGATTGCCAGCTATGTTAACCACTTCCATCAGCAAAAGGGGGCTGTTAATCATCTCTCTACTTCAACACTGTTCTCACCTCAAACAGGACAGAAAACCAAAGAAATGGGGAGTCAGCTGCTTCTTTCAAACAGCAGACCAACCAAAGGTCCTACTTTGTTATGAAAGGATCAGATACCTCTGAAAATGTATACTAATGCCTTATGGTATGCTTCCTGCATTGACGGGACATCTTTGGATGTGCCATATATACAGCATATATTAGTCTGTAACACAGGCCAAGAAAGCTGGTCTGGTTTCCATTCATTTTAGTTAGAGGCCCCTGTTAAGCTTTATTGTAGATGGGATGATTATCCTGTCTGATGATGCTAACTCCAATTTTGGACATGAGTATTCAAAAATACTTCTGAAGAAGGTTCTTTTGTGGATGGGGAATTGGTCTCTTAATTTATTTCAATGTCAGGTATTTTGAAGACATTTTCTCATGAAGGACAATATTTTCACCTTTCTACTCTTACAAGTTGTATAACCTTGATTATAAAAAAGCATGTTTGTTTAAATGGGAAAACAAATACATGTACTTTCCATTCCCTCGCACTTTCTTGTCTGTAATACATGCAACCCAGGAAACAGTCAAAAGGGGACATTTTTATGAAAGCTCTATTTTGAAGTATTGGTTGCACATCATTGATTGTATACTTTATTATAAATGTCCTTCCTTATACAACAGTTTACTTGTCTAATCCACAGCAGTGGTCTGGTAGTATCTACACAATTCTTCTTTTTGAATTTCTAAAGCTAAATTTGGCATATGTTGTGGATTACGTATTTTAAAAAATTATAGTCAGAATTCTTAAAAAATCAGTTTTCTTCCATAGTTTTGTCTCATCTTTAAATAACATAGGCCAAAAATTAGTAAGTTAGAATTCAAACCACAAAAGCAATATAAAGAGCACTTACATGAATAGGTACGTGTAAACGTGGAGGCACAGATTTCATAAAATATGTGACATGTACATTGTACATACCAGTAGAATAGCATATTTTATAAATATATGCCTAATACAAGAAAGTGTTCTACTTGTTTTTGTTTTAACATTTTTCAAATTTTATCCATGCATTTCACACCTTAATATTAGTATGAGGGCCTCTTGCCCACTAGAAAAATCATTTAATAGATTAAATTCAATTATAAATCATTGATCTTGTAGCTATTTCTTAATTTCTGTGGCAACTAATACTAGCTATCAAGTACATTTGTCACTTAAAACTGTATTTTGTCCCTTGTGGTTTATTCTAGAACCTGGAGTAATGTTATAATACTGAATTTTTAACATCAGTGAATGGAATTAATAATCTCTATTTATGGTATCACTTAAAAAAAGTTTGGTATCCATCTCATGAGGCTTACCCCTTACGTGAGGCAAACGGTGTATATACCTGAAAGACTCGGGCCAGGTTACAAATAACACAGTTTGCAGGAAAGAACACATTACACAGAACACATTTAAAAACTGGAGAAAGAGATTGAAAGCTGAATTAATAGCAAGGATGCTACAGAGGACTCAATGAGGCATCTAATTCTTCTGAAAGCCTGAAATCATGCCAAATCCACTGGTCTCCATGACTTCTATACTATTTTGTTAATGATACTGAAGGTTAAAGTTCTGTTCTGGAAAGTATAAACTGAGAACAACTGAAGTCATTACACTGGCAAAGCCCTCATTTACATGAAGTTAAAGTGCAGCATCAAACCCTAGAACTCAATCCTGCAATGAAACACATGCTTAATTATATGAATGTGAATAGTCTCATTGACATCAATGAGCCACACATATCCATAAGTGTTTTTAGAATCAGTACCTTAGTAATTAATGTCAAGGAATTTCTCTCATCTTGTTAGCGGTATTATTCAAGAGAAATGTTTTATTTTGAAGAAAGATAGAACCAACTACAGAAATCCAGAGCTCTATTTTACCCACAAAACAGGGCTTCTTGTGTGCAAACCACTTCAACCTTCTGTCTCAAATCATTCTTTCTACTGCCTGCTCGCCAGTCCTTTATAACACATCAGGCACAATTACTTTATCCCATGAGTGGACACAAAGTATTATTCACTAGCATCTCTGCTGGAATGCATTAAGTTTTCTGTTGTGGGTTCCTAGCATTTGCCAAGTTCTGGAAGCATATAACAATGTAGGTATCACAGTGGTATTGAATAACTTTATCTTGATTCTTGTATTAGTCTCCTTATTTTTCCAAATATTTGTCAGTCTCAGAAAGGGTCCACTTGTCTTTCCAGTTCTTCTGCCACCTCCTTATAGATGTGGCCATTGGAACATTGCTTCCAAGATACGCAAACTCATTAACCATGCCATATTTTTCACTGTTAATGACCTATGCACTATCACTGCCAACTTGTCTTCCGATGACTTTCATTTTCTTTTGGCCTATTTTTAATCCTACTTTAGTGGCCTCACATTTGCTATTGATAGTGGTCTTTCACATAGTATCATCTTCTGTGTCCAGTGAAGCAATGTCTTCAGAAAAATTGAGCTCTTGAAATTTTCCTCTACTCCATATAATTCTTGTATCTTCTCTTGCTGTTGCTTTTCATATCACATAATCTATCACAGTGCAGAAGAGGAGAGATGATAAGATGCATCCTTGTTGCACTTCAGTGACAATATCAAACCTGCTGGTCTCTCCACTGTCTATCCATACGCAAAACTTTGAACCTTCATACAGAATCTTGGTATGTCTTAGTACATCTGAAGAACAGTGTTATAATATTTCTCCTCTTCTGTAATTTGAAAGAAGACTCTTAAAATCTATATTGTTTAATATTTGACTCCCCTTGCAAGCAGTATTTTACCTATTTATCATTGTACGATGGTAGCTGCTACCACAGTTTCCCTCTGTTTGCTTAGGGAGGTTCAACATTCCAGCCAAACTTCAAAAATTACTTTTTCTTTCAGGGTGTGACTGTTCTCAGGGTAGAAGACTGAAAGTCACCTTGTGAGCTCCACTTCTAGCTAGAGGGAGTTTTGTCTGTGGTAACAGGATGTTAGCTACATAACACAACCAGCATCTCAACCACTCAAGTATTCTCCTCTGGGCAATGCCAGTTCTGTCTTTGCCTTATGGTCTGAAGGTTGAAGTGCCCCCCACAGCCTTCTTGAACCATTCACTTATGATAACCAGTCCCTGGCCCTGGCTACTCACAGAAATCCCAGATCTTTTGATCTGAATGGAACCACAGTTTACCTTAAATTGCTGCTCTGGTATAACACACAACACTTGTAATGAAACAAACAAAAGTTTATTTAAGAAAGCATAGAGATTCTGTTAGTTGATGGCTTTCCACTGACTGTTCTGGAACGGAGCAATAGTAGACAACTGAGCCTTGTATTAGTTCATCAGCTATACAGGGAAGGGTGGCTGCTCCATCCTGCATTTGCAGGCCATCACCTGCCTGCTAATTACTCCCTGGTGACTCCTTGCAACCATCAGACCATAAGGGCATAAACTTAAATAGAGTTACATTATTTCTTCAGTCTGATCTGTACACACATCATGCCATGATTATGAACATTGATGAGTTGCAAGCTTTCAGCAGAGATCGTATCTGTTGCCCTTTACAGACAAATATACTATAAGCAATGTATTTGGTATGGTCAGTTTGTGAAGTCTGAAACGAGAGATGTTTATAAACACAAGGGACCTTTTGCAAAGTGGCCTCTATGTTAACAAGAATCCAACAAAGCAAACAAATTCAGAATGTTCACTCCCTCAGTGCAGAAGCATACTAGCTGCTCCTGTACCACTGAGTTTCTTCCACAGCTCTAACGTGGAGCTGCAAGCAGCATGAATGGCCAGTGACCTACCTACCTGGGGAGTCTAATCCCTGGCTTTGTACTCAAGACTCCACCCTTCCTCTTCTGACCACCTCCCCTTCTATCCCTCCTCCTCCTGCAGGATCCCAGAACACCCCCCTGTGACCTGCTTGGCTCTAGAACCAGAAGGCTGAGAGCTAGAGGAACAAGATCCTAGCCCCAGTGCTCCAGAGCCTCTGTACGGCATGGCTGCCATGCCCCCAACCCCGAGGCTTTAGGTGGCCTCAGTCCTGGTACTCAGGCAGCCAGCCCCAGAGCACCAGTCAGGTAGAACCACCAGCCACGTTTGACATCCTGGGCTTCCTCCCGGGAAGCATGCTGGCCTGGGAGCAGAGCCACAGCCTTCCCCTTCCTTCCATGCCTGCTGCCATGGCAAGCAGCTCCTGGACTCTCCAGACTTACTTGCCTAAGCATGCCTTCAGGGTACTTTTCTCCAGCCCTGTGGCTATTGTAGGCCTCTTCCCACGCTCTTCTAAATCTCCCCTTGCCTGTTTTGTCTGGAGAGACCCACCAGAAAGTTGTTCCTTTCAGGTAAAGAATACCTGCAGCACATATTCTCTCTTCCTTGTTCCCTCTGACATCCCTGGAAGTGCCAGAATGGCTTGGGTCTGGGCTGAACAGACCCTTTTGATGCTATCTCCAAAGTTTGTATTTATAATTTTGATGAATTAGAGAATAGCCAAAACAGAGGGCCACGAAACTGACATTTGATCTGTCATGGACTTTCTATGTAGCTTTAAGACAAACCAAAATTTTCGGAAGTGTGTGTTTTGGCTTTCTTGAAACAATTATTGTTCACCACTTCAGAAAATTGATCCACTCATTTAAATGCCTAAATATGGATTTAGGTGCTTAACTCTAGGCACTCAAATTTGAAATGTTTTGCTTTAACTTATGTTCCTCTTCTGCTCCATCTGTAAAGTGGGAATAATATTAATATATACCTACCTCACAGACCTATCATGAAGATTAAGCACTTGTATGGGACTTGAAAATAGAGCGCTCTATGGAATGGTTAAGTATTATTATTTTCCTTTATAATTTTTATTCTTTTTAATTTGGTAATCACTGAGTTTGAAATTTTTTTTAGAATGGAAGTAAAATGAATGTCTATTTTTGTTGAACCTTCTTCAGTTTTTCATGCCAAAAGCTATTTTTGTGCACTAGCATCAGTAAACAGTCCCTGCTTGTTTCTGGGGATAATGAGAGTTAATTACTGCTGGAGTTCTGCAGGCAAAGATAGCCCTGAGCTTTGAGTATAGTCTCCAGCACATAAGAATATCCATAAGGGATGAGACCAAAGGTCCATGTAACCCAGTATCCTGTCTTCCATGAGTGGCCAGTGTCAGGTGTCCCAGAGGTAATTCATGAGTGGCCAGTGTCAGGGGTCCCAGAGGGAATGAACAGAGAATCATGAAGTAATGCATTTCCAGACTCTGGCAAACAGAGGCTAGGGAGAGCTTCCCTATCCATCCTGGCTAATATCCATGAATCCTGTTGTAGTATTGGAGTTTACAACATCCTCTGGCAAACCACAGGTTGTGCAGAATGTAAAAAAAAATCTTTTGTTCTTTATTAATTTCATTTCATTGTGCTTCCCAGTTCAGACTTGTGTTGTAGCTCCATAGTTTGTTACAACTCCATAGTAGTTCCCCAGTTTGTGCATTGCCTGTAGATTAATATTGGCCAAATATTATATGGGTCATCTGCACAGCCAGATATACTATGTTGGGGAATAATTATGCCAGTTGTGTTGTATCATTCTTTGTTTCAACATATTACTGATGTATAGGGCAGCAACATATTTTAGTAAAACAGATAAACAGTTTGGTTTCATCTACACAAGCATGTTTAAATTGTTTTTATGCCAGATGGAGGTGAACTTTCTTCTTGGGTATGGGTACGTATACAGACGCCAAAGCCTGGAGCCATTCTCAGGAGAAGAAGGTGTTGTGATTTTACGGGAATCGTTCAGATTGAATCATTTTACATGCTCGTGTTTTATTACTCCAGGGGTAAAAACCTGGCCCACTGAAGTCAAAAGCAAAATTTCCATTGATTTCAGTGGACATGCCACATAGTTATCAGATGACAGAACAATTTCACTGGAGTAGTTTTACATAATGCAAGCATAACAATGGTGGTTTCTAATTTGTCTTCTAACCACTAATGAATACTTAATACAGTAAAACTCCAATTGTCTGGCATCCAGTGATCCAGCACTCCCGATAGTCCGGCACCAACTGGAACCCACAAGTGTTCTGGCCAGCTGGACAATTGGAGCTGCTGTGAGCCCCATGGGCACTCATGGCTGGGAAAGGGAAGGATAGAAGAGGGGAAGGGGATTATACCCCTGTGACAGGTCTGCCGGGACCTGCACTGCGACCAGCCAGAGGGTGGAGGTGGGGGGGAGGCAGGGAACGGCCCGATAGTCCGGCACCAACTGGAACCCACAAGTGTTCTGGCCAGCTGGACAATTGGAGCTGCTGTGAGCCCCATGGGCACTCATGGCTGGGAAAGGGAAGGATAGAAGAGGGGAAGGGGATTATACCCCTGTGACAGGTCTGCCGGGACCTGCACTGCGACCAGCCAGAGGGTGGAGGTGGGGGGGAGGCAGGGAACGGGGCAGTTTTGAAGGAAGGCGGGGGTAGGGCCGTACCACCGCCACAACCTCACAGG